CTCTTTTCTACCTCCTCCACGTACAGGTTGGCAACAATAGGAGAAACTGGAGACCCCATAGCACACCCATGTTTCTGCCTATAATATTGCTCCCCATATGTGAAGTAGGTTGACTGCAGGCACAGTTTCAAGAGTTGACAGTTGTTCTGTGGAAAGCGTGGTCCTGCTGCTCAGAGTGGTGTCTGATTTTAATTTTAAACTGACCACCTCTACTGCATCATCAACAGGAATGCACGTAAAGAGTGATGTGACATCAAAAGAGACCATTGTTTCATCAGTCTCCATGATGACATCCCTCACCTTATCCACAAAGTCCATGGTGTTCTGGCCATGGTGAGACTGAGCTGAAAACAGCACCTCAGACTGAAGAAGTCTCTCGGACGAGAGACGAAACGTTTCTACATTTTTTGTTGTTTTGCTTTGTTTTGGGTTTTTTTGTATGTCCAGAGGACCAGATTTAACTTTTTTAGACTTAATCATTAAATTATTATCTTTGTGTTAGATTTATTTATAAATCACATTTAAACACTGCGTGTACCAATTAAATTAAATAAAAAGTAACACGCACGTTCTCTATCACCGTCATTAATCAACAAACAAACAAGCAGCAGCTTTATCTACCAGACAGACTGACGTTACGTTTTCTCACTAGGAAACAGAACAATGTGTTAAATTGTGGAGACTCACCTGCAACATGAGTTGGGAGTGAGACATGTATCTGCTGCAGCTCCTTCCTCTTCCTCGTGACTCCGACATGTTTACGTTTATCTCCGTGGTTCTCCCGTGTCGTGTCGGCGATTTTCAAAGCAGCACGTTTCTCATTTTTTATCTTTGTGAAGTTCTCCCACACTTTGGAGGACTTGGGTCAAAGAGTTTTCGCTGCATCGGTCATTTGTAAAATTTACTTAAATTTCCTTTGAAAACAGACTCTGCTTTGCTCCCCCCTCGCTCTGTTCAACTCACGCTGCAGAGTTTTTTTTTTTTTTTTTCAAACTTTATTCAGTCAGCATTGACAATGCCCATGAACAAAACGAACCGGCTCCGCAGCGCCGTGAAAGATGCATAATCGCGTGACACAACGAATCGATAACGAAATTTGTTGCCAACGCTTTTAATCATCGATTTTTATCGATTTTATCGATTCGTTGTTGCAGCCCTACCGTCCTCTCTCTAAATGTGTCTGTAGAATGACAGTTTATTTTCTTGCACATTTCTTTGACAGTTAAACATTTTGAGCCCTGATTGAAAACGTTTGTGCAGATTAAATTTACAGCTCTCAGTTTTGTGTTGTTGTGATGATGATGATGGTGGTGCTGCTGCTGACTTGAGATGATGTCATTAATAAACAGTATAAATGTCAGTAAAAGTACTTTATTAAAGCTCGCTTTACATTTTACATATTTTATAATAAATTGTTTGGAAATTTATTTTTGCACAATTAACACTTATTTTGTCATCTGTTATGATTTTAACTAGAAACAGTTTCATTTAAATTAACATTTTAATCAGTGAATTACAATTTATCCAATAGTTGTCAGGTGACAAATACAACAATTATATTCAGGTCTCTCTTGTAAATGAGTCCTCGTGACTCAATGGGACAAACCTGTTTAAATAAAGGTTGAATTAATATCTTCTATAGAAATCAAGAATTCATCCAGATGATCTAAGGCAGGGGTGCCCAACCTTTTTTGAACCAAGAGCTACTTTTGAAGTCGGCAATTTGCCGAGAGCTACTCGTCCAGTCTCATTATCAACAAACATAATTTTTCATCAATCCCTACTCCTCACTTCTTTAAAGTAAATAAAACAGAACGTGATGTGTCTATAGGAGACAACTTTTTATGCAAGCTGTATAAAATAAATGTGTCTCTACCTTAGTGGGACTTCTGACACTGAGAGGAGGAGGCCAGGGTCTCATAAGCTGGGCAGTGTGAGGTGGTTGCGAGGCGCAGGCAGGTCTCCAGATGATCATCATTCATTGTGGATCTGTTTTTGGACTTGATGATTTTCATGTGTGAAAAAGCACTCACACAGGTAGGTAGATCCAAAAAATGTTGTTAAGTTCAAAGCACATCTTCGGATGTTAGGATACTTTTCTTCTGACAGCAGACTCCAGAACTCTCCATCCACGCCAGGTGATGCTCTGGATTTGATCCCAATGTCATTTTGCAGAGTCAACACCTCATTTTCAACACCAGAGCTGTCCAGCTGAAACACGGACACCAATTTGGACACAATGTCATCCACATCAACATTTCCAAAAGGATAACACATGTAGCTGGTAACAGGCTCGATGGAGGAAAAGTCAGTAAATCGTCTCTCGAATTCTGCTGAGATGCTCTGAACCTGCTTAGAATAGTGTGCACTGTCCAGTTGTGGGACCTCTTTCCCTTGGCGCTGTAGCTCTGCCTCCATGTGTGGGAAGTTTCGCAGGTCCCTGCATTGCAGCCAACTTGTGAGCAGTTGCAGCCTGCTTTTGAAGGTGCTCACAGAACTGATCATGTGGATTATGTTTTTGTCCTTTCCCTGAAGCTCCAAATTCAGTTCATTGAGCAGGCTGGTGAGATCTGTGAGGAAGGCTAAATCCAAAAGCCACTGGGTGTCCTCTAGTTTTGAATGTTCACCATGATCTGACAGCTTCAGAAAATCCCTGATCTCAGGCAACAGCTCACTGAATCTGTCCAGAAATTTACCTCTGCTTAGCCACCTGACGTCCATGTGCAGCAGCAGGTCTGTGTGGTCTGCTCCTGCCTCCTCCAAGTGAGCCCGGAACAACCTCCTCTGCAGACTCCTGGCCCTTATAGAGCACACAGTTTTCATGGCAACATCCATCACTTCCTTCATGTTTAAAATCTTCCCACACAGGGCCTGTTGGTGGATGATGCAGTGATAGTGCAAAATGTCTGGGAAAGCATCATTCTGCTTGCAGAGTGCAACAAATCCACTGGTGTGACCAGTCATTGCTGGAGCGCCATCAGTTGTTATAGAAATTAGTTTAAAGAGGGGCAAGTTGCTTTTATTAACAAACTCCATAAACGCATTAAAAATATCTTCTCCTCTTGTGTGTCCCTTCAAAGGCAAGATGGTGAGCAGCTCCTCTTTTGCACTCATGTCTGCAAAGGCCATTCTGATAAAAACACACAGCTGGGCTACATTCACCATGTCTCTCGACTCATCAAACTGAAGAGAAAAACACTCACATTGTTCCACGTCCTTTTTTAGCTGCTCCTCCACATCCACAGCTATTTCCTCACATTGCCGTGTCACTGTTTGTCTGGACAACTGCACGTCTTTAATAGCAGCTACGATCTCACTTTTATTTTTAAAATCATGAAAAAGCGCATCTGCAGCCTCAATAAACGCTTCTTTCATAACTTGTCCATCGCTGAGACTTCTTATGTTGAGCCAGGATGCGGCTAACACGGTAGGAAGCTATCGTAGCAGCTTTACCTTTTGTGCTGGGCCGAGTGAAGACTGATTGCTGGGCTGCAAGCTTGTTTTTTAGCTCCCGCACTTTCTGAGTCCGTAAAGAACTTCTAAGAGGGAAATCTGTCTCAAACCGTTTGTGCATCGTCTTGAAATGCCGCTCCAAGTTACACTTTTCGGGTAAGGCAACGCTCGAATTACAGATGAGGCAAATGGACTTCGAATTAGAATAGGCAAAAAATTACTCCTCCTCCCACTCTGTGTGAAAATAATAAGTTTTCGTTTGCTTGTTCGCTAGTTTTCCATCCATGTTTTCTGCGCACCGACATTACTCCACTACTGAGTCTAAAGTCTCGTGAGAGCGCTGTGTCACCGCACCCAAAACTCGCGAGACTATGTCTGTGAGAATACAAGTCAAGGTTTCGTTTCGCGGGCGAGCGACTGGTTGGGCACACCAGATCTAAGGTAAGCTGGAGCAGATCTGAACTACTGGCATGGAGGACAAGGTGGAGCATTCTCATGCAGAGAACATCAGAAATAGCTTTATAACAGGTGTTACTCTGATCTTTTTTTATCGTGTGTAGCGTTATAAAACACTGATATGGCTATATTGATCATTGTATTGCATATACATTTTTTTCTAACAAATGTGTGTTTGCAGTCTTGTTTCCTTCTAAAATTTAATGATAAATGTATCAGCCGCTTCTAAAAATACTTTGATAAAATGCAGTCTGAAATAATCAGTAACGTAATCAGTTCGTTACTGCTCAATAATTACTGAAAGACGTCAGGTAAAGTAAGAAAAGTCGATTTTTGTGTTCTGTTGCACCAGCAGCCACTCCAACTGACTGACAGCGATGAACTGTTTGGAACTACTGGGAGCTGCATGAACCACGTGACCGCATATCGGTGAGTTCAAAGAGTGTCGCAACTCTCTCTTTATAGGGCTCTGGTCTGCCCCTCCTCCGACACGGACAGACTGAGCGGGTCAGATCAAGCGTGGCAGACCGAACTCAGACTGCCTTCTCCGGACTGAACGAAAATAACAGACCGCTGAAGCCCCGGAGCTTGAATGTCCATCGTAAAACTAACTTTACCATGGTTTAATGTGGTGCTATGGCTTTGCAGACATTGCACGTTGCTGTATTGTTTTGTGGTATTTCTAGTGTAAAATATTTCCACACAGCGGACATGTTTCGATGAAAAGTTGGTTAGCTGTTAGCTACAGTGCTGCTCACTCAGTCTTCACGTTGTAGCTTGCTGCAAACTATAAAATGGATTTTCTGAATGTGAGGTGTATCTTATTACTCTGGGTTCATGAAACACGCCTCCATTCAGGAAATCCATTCCATAGTTTGAAGCCAATGTGCAGCGCAACCACAGACATGGATAGGAAATATTGGCAGGTTGGATCGGAAAATCCGATACGTAAATTATACTGGTATCGGAGCCCGATACCGGATCGGCCCCATCCCTACAAAATATTACAAGAAAGCTTGGCTCCTAAAATGTAAATGATAAAAAATTATAGGCTGCTCAAGACTTTTACACAAGACAAACTCCAAGCTTACCAGTGTGGCTTCTCATGTGTATTTTGAGGCGACAAGCCTTGTCGTAGGTCTTGTGGCAGCCTGGGAAAGTGCATGCAAAGTGTCCCGTTTCTCTGAAGTGGGTACGGTTGTGGGAGAACAGGGCACTGAAAGTAATGAAGGTTTTCTCACAGCCTGCAAACAGGGAAAGTGAACACTATAACTTTTGATGGAGATGATTTACTGCCATCAACTTCTAAAGCACAACCCACCTGGGAATTCACATTTGTGGGGTCTCTGTGGCTCAAAGTGAACCCTCTGATGGTTGGTGAGACGTGTGGTGCTGCGGAACTTCTCGTTACAGATATCACAGATGAAGGCTTTATCCTGCTCATGAACTTTTAAATGAGCCTTAAGGTTGTAGACTGTAGTGAAGCGCCGCCCGCAGCCTTGGAACTGACAGGTGTGTGGACGCTGTTTATTATGGGACTGGAGGTGGCGCTTCAGCTTGTAAGAGGTGGCAAAAGCCCAGCCGCAGCCCTCCACCGTGCACGGATATGGCCGAGGGTCCTCTATGTGGTTCAGAAGGTGGACCTTCAGTTTCTGGCGGGACTCAAACGTGCAGGAGCAGTCAGGTTCTGGACAGAGAAATGTGGCCACAGTGTCTTTCTTTGTTCTAATTAGCCGTAGAGAGTTCAAGTCCCCATTGTCACAGTCTGCTACAGTAGTTTGGGGAGATGGGGAAACCAGATCAGGTTCTGTTAAAGCACACAGCGCCTCCCCATCCTCCTTAACAATGGGACAGGACTGTAGAGATGTGCCCACTTCTGACAATGTGCAGTCATCCACCAGAGCCAGCTCTAAGTCACTAACAGGTAAACCAGGTCTGGGCACTTTGTGGTGGTTGGGGCTGGCTACTGCCAGGGTGCTGATCTTCCCAATGGACTTGGTACCACTGTCATAGTTAAGAAGAACAATGTCCTCATGGTCTTTCATACCCAGATGTTCCTTTAGGCTGACCATGCCGTCCTCCTTGTGGACATGGCCCTCAGGTGGGGCAGCCAGAGTCAGGATTCCGTTCTCAATCGTGACTATGATGCTTTGGTTGTTGATCGTGATGGTTCCCGAAAAGGTCTCACTCGCAGTCTGGTTCGGGGAGGCCGTGACTGGACTCGTTCTCTTTGTGCTTGAAGTATTTTCTGACTTCTCAACACCTTCCGTGTGTGAGAGCAGCGCAGTGCCGCCGTCAGTCCGGCTCTCTCGGAGGTGTTTTGCTTCGCTGTGTTCGGTGCAGATCTGGCCGCAAATCCGGTCGCCATATTTGTTTGTTAAAACGACGTCTTCCACCGTGTGGTGACCGACAGGCTGTTTGGCGTGAACTATGGTAGAACTGTGGGTTAACAAACTTAAGAAAGGGTCTACGCTCTTTAGAGTGTGCAGACAGCTCGGAGTGTCTGTAGACTCACCGAGAGCCGAGCTGCTGCAGCTGCCAGCCTCCATGGGGTCGCACAGACTAGCTCCTTCTTCAACTTCTTTCACCTGACGTCTCTTCTCGTGGCACGAGTCGTTGCGTTGATTTTTCCTCGCTTCGGCGGCTCCATCCTCTTGGAGCGTGTTAAAAATGACATACAAATCCCGTTTCTGTCTCTCGGGCCTGTTCGTGCAGATCTTCGTAGCGGCGCCGCTGTCAACAGACCCCTGCTGCCGTACACCCGGAGAAGCTAACGCTAGCTGCCGCTGCAGTTCCTCTTCCCCATCGAAAAGCGGCAGCGCCATGACGGAGCCGCTCTCCACGTATTTCCAGCTCGTATTTCTGAACTCGTTGGAAATAACCAGAGAATTTAGCTCGCTCTCTCTGTCTGAATTTAGGTTATGAAGCCCCACGAACGTGCTGTCGTTAGTAGCTGACTGAGTTTCGCCAACGGGCGAACGACAAGTAACATTGCTGCCGTTTTCCTCCACCAGCAGGGGCCACGTTTCCGTCCTGCTGTTCTCACTCTGATGGCTGTTTGCTTCGGCCCTGGTGGAAACAAAATGAGGCAATAACTGTGGTGCCTGCTCAACAGAGGACGGAGAGTTGCCGTGCAGGGCACCATGTTGATAGTTGGTGTTTTGGGCATCTCGCAGCCCCTGTATTTCCATCTTGGTGTCCCTGTAGCAGAAGAGCTGAAGCCACGCCCCTTACCGGTTCATGCTACGACGGCGCGTGAGCGACCATAGATATATAATCACTAGATTATGCGGCGCAGGAATTTCGGCCGCCATCTTGGAGCGGTCGTCATTTGGCTAAAGCAGATGTCGTCTCAGCACTTCGCAGCTTATTTCTGTTCTAATCGACGGACTGTTGACGTCAGGTCTCGGGGGATAACTTTTCACAAGTAAGATGAACATATTATTGTTAGTATTTTGTGAATATAATATTACTGTACTGTATTTATATCCACCAGCTGATTTGATGTTCAGTGTAACACAGTGTTCAGCTGCAATGAAGCTAACTGAGATCTGATGACAGGATATTTTTCTAACAAGCATACTCACTATTTCAGCAGCTTTGGTTCATTATCAACAGATATGCATCAAAACGGGAGTTTTGTTTAAGTTCCAAGATATTAAAAAAATAAAACTAGGGAGAATATAGGAAATAGAAGATAAGATTGACCTCCTCTGTACAATGTTTGTGTATACACAAATCTCCTGTTTTCATTTTGAAGGTTTCCCGAAGAACAAGATGTGAGGAAGAGGTGGAAGTACCTGTATCTTTAAGGAGGATTCATCTGAGCAGTGAGGATTTTAAACTGGAGGATTTTGATCAAACTGATCAGACTGTCCGACTGAGAGATGGTGTGGTACCATCGGTTCACCTTCAAAGAGTAGGAGCATCATTATAACTTCATTAGAGTTCATAAATTTACATATTTTATTGTCAGTCACAAGGTGAGACACCTCCATGTGTTTATATGAACAGGTAACTATAGACTGTAAAGTTCATATTCATTATGTTTTTTCATTTCAGCTTGAAAACTGCAGGACTACAGGAACTCAACAAAAGCTGGAGCTGCTCTGTCTGTGGCCTCTCAGGAACGTGCACGTCACACACATGACCTCAGGAACGTGCACGTCACACACACAACCTCGGCCTCCTGATGTATTTCTATTTTAAACTTTTATTTTTCCATTTACCTTTATTTATCCAGGTAGTCTCATTGAGTCACGAGAACTCATTTACTAGAGAGACCTGTTTAGGAGCAGATGGTGGTGGTTGAGTGCCTTGCTCAGGGGCCCAGAGTGGGGCCAATGAGGGTGGAGGCAGGTGTGGGTGTTTCACCTTTTCCACCCACATTTGGATGTTGACAGTACCGGGAGTTGAACCTGCAACTTTCCAATCACAGGCCCATCTGGCCGAGATGGTGTAGAGGCAGGGCAGCCGGCTTTGGACCTGAAAGTCCCAGGTTCGATCCCCAGTCACTGCATATCACGTGGTGTCTCTGGGCAGCACACCTCATCCCCAAAATGCCCCCTGGGCGCTTTCAATAGCTGCCCACTGCACCACCTGGTGGTGGATGGGTTAAATGCAAAGACTAATTTCGCCATTGTATGGAAACATACAGTGCTGACATTGTGATGACATTATTATTATTATCTTGTGACCTCTGCTCCACCGCTCCCCCACATAACATCATATCATAATGGTCATGGCCATATTAAAATCTCACTGGTTTCCTTCCAGATGTGTTAAACAGCTACTGGTCCCCCCTGATGTTTCCAGGTGGCTGTGATCAGTGGACGAAAAGTCTGGCATGAACAAGATGATGCTGGAGATCATCATTTGAAGAGAGCTCCCACCTTCTAACTGGGAAGAACAATAGCAACTCAGTGATTCCCTGAAGGCTCAGTGAAGGTGCTGAGAGCTGCAGAGAGGCTGATTCATGGAGCTTCAACACAGCAACCTCCTAACATGTCCACCCTCACACACATGGTCCATGAAGACACTGGACCAGAGCACAAGATAATAAGACACTGATAACAACAACAATACACATTCACAAATGATTCAGACAAATTTTTATATTTTTTATTGTTTGTTTGTTTTACAATTGAAAAACAGTTTGTTGTCCACTGTTGTCATCACTCTTTGTTAAAATCCAGGTCTCTCTTGTAAATGAGTCCTATTGACTCAATGGGACTAACCTGTATCAATAAAGGTTGAATGAATATAAATATATACATAATGATTTATTCAACCTTTTATTTAAACTACAGTATATATATATATATATATATATATATATATATATATTATATATATATATATATATATTATATATATGATTATGAAATTTTAATGTGTGTGTGTGCATATATACAGGTCCTTCTCAAAAAATTAGCATATTGTGATAAAGGTAATTATTTTCCATAATGTAATGATAAAAATGAAACTTTCATATACTTCAGATTCATTGCACACAAACTGAAATATTTCAGGTCTTTAATTGTTTTTAATACTGATGATTATGGCATACAGCTCATGAAAACCCAAAATGCCTGTCCCAAAAAATTAGCATATTTCATCCCACCAATGAAAGACAAGTGTTTTTAATACAAAAAACGCCAACCTTCAAAGAATCATGTTCAGTTATGCACTCAATACTTGGTCGGGAATCCTTTTGCATGAATGACTGCTTCAATGCGGCGTGGCATGGAGGCAATCAGCCTGTGGCACTGCTGAGGTGTTATGGAGGCCCAGGATGCTTCGATAGCAGCCTTAAGCTCATCCAGAGTGTTGGGTCTTGCGTCTCTCAACTTTCTCTTCACAATATCCCACAGGTTCTCTATGGGGTTCAGGTCAGGAGAGTTGGCAGGCCAATTGAGCACAGTAATGTAGTGAACTAAGCCTCAGGTCAAAACCTGCCCCTGAGGGCCTTCCTGGGACAGGAACTGTTATTTCATTGATTTGAGTCCAGAAATACAAATTAAGCTCATCCAGAGACTTTCTAAGTGTGTCCTGCACTAATCAATTGAAAGAACACTCTCTTTTATTATCATTACTATTTTACAATATCTTGATAATCAAAGTGTGTTTAGTTCAAACCATTTTAAATGTTGAAGTGAACTACTCACTTTAAATCAACTGTGAAACAGTATTAATGATTTTTAATCCTCATTCAAAGTAGAAATCAAGTTAAATGCCTGTTACAAGTAATTATGCATTTTTGATTTTCTGTCTGAAATGAGCAAGTTGTGATGTCGGTCAAAAGTCAAGGAACGGTCAAAAACATGTTTATCGGAACGAAATGTCATGTTTAACTCTCTCAGATAGATAGAAGGAGACTGGCTCCTAAATGTCTCTGTTTCTTCAAAACATCTTTCTGTCTGTTCTTAAAACATCTACTCTGTCTCCTTGACTTGTAGTAACCTCTTACGTAACTAAAACCACACCCCTGTTGGTTCGTTCAACCAATCAGGAAGTTCTCAGAGGAACCGGAACTGACCTCTTTAAAAGGGTCGACACTTCCTAGTTCCAAGCAGAACAACGTTCCAGAGCAGAACAAGAGTTCCAGGGAGAACCTCGAATGAGAAGTTCCTGAACGAGAGAAGTTCAGAGGAACAGAAGTTCAGAGCGGTTTCTAATGGAGTGACAAGAGTCCGTCGATGCCACGACGTCTCGCTGTGGCTCTACCCGACGAACGCTCTGAACAATGAGGAAGTCTGTTCTGTGATGATCTCACGACTCCTGAGGTCACAGCTGTTCTTACGGAGACGCTGAAAAGAGTTGAAAGAAAACTCTACACCGAAGCCGAAACTATCGTCTGCAAAGGTAAAAGAGTCGATCTTCAACTGCTAGTGTACCGTGGGTTAAGCTGCGTCCAAAGAAGCGTGTTGTTTCTGGTTATACAGACACTTTCCCTCACCCATCTCTCTCCATTTAAACTTCATTTTCCCATCTTTAAAACTCTTCTATCTGCCAGTAATTAATCCAGATATTTTCAGAAATGTCTGTTGTATTTCAGTTGCAAGTGAGAAATCATGGCCGTATGATTTCTCAGTGCAAAAGCTCATTAATTAAGCTGTGTTAATTGTAATCAATCTGCCAATTAATGTAAATGTGTGATGTGTTTTAAATCGTTTAAAATAAACGGCTCACTGTTGTTGGTGAGTCAGAAATTTAAACACGTTTCCGTCCACATTTAATATTCAAAACACGATATTACTCAGTCCAGAAAAATGAAAGAATCCGTTTAAATTATGGATAATATCAGACGCATATTATCTCTCATTACAGTAATACCATGGTCAGTAAACCATTTACCAGTGGTTTTGGCACTGTGAGCAGGTGCCAGGTCATGCTAAAAAATGAAATCTTCATTTCCATAAAGCTTTTCAGCAGATGGAACCATGAAGTGCTCCAACATCTCCTGATAGCTAGCTGCATTGACCCTGCCCTTGATAAAAGACAGTGGACCAACACAAGCAGCTGACATGGCACGCCAGACCATCACTGACTGTGGGTGCTTCACATATACATATATATACATATACATATATATACATACATATACATATATATATATACATATATATATATACATACATATACATACATATATATATATATATTCATGTATATACATACATATATACATACATATTCATGTATATACATACATATATATATACATATATATACATATACTTATATATACATACATATATATACATATACTTATATATACATACATATATACATATACTTATATATACATACATATATATACATATATATACATACATATATATATACATATATATACATACATATATATATATATATACACATATATATATATACATATATAAATATATATATACATATTTACATACATACATACATATATATACACACATATATACATATATATATACATACATATATATATATACATACATACATACATATATACATATATATATACATACATATATATATACATACACACATAAATACATATATACATACATACATATATACATATATATATACA